CCATTGACCTTCATTAAATCGACTAAAACAGTAGAAATATTCTTTAAAATATCATAATTTGTGTCCAGAACGGTGATATTTTAGTACTATAGTATTTATATACTATTATAATATTTTGAATTAGCTTTTATTTTAATATTTTCAATTTTAGGTGAATTTTTATTATCTTTATTATATTTAGTTCAAGTTAAGTTTAAGGTATTTACTGTATATTTTATTTCAGTTAACAAAAGTGAATTGTTTTTATTAGTGCTGTCAAATCGATTAATCGCGATTAATCACATCTAACAAAAAAGTTTGTTAAAATAATGTATGTGGTTTTATATATACACACACACACACATATAAATATACTGTATATATACAAACTTTTATGTTAGATGTGATTAATCGTTTTGTCAGCATTATTTTTATATAGTTTTAGTTTAATAGTTTTGTTTTAGTTAACGATAACAACACTGTACAGAAACAAAGAAAGCCGTAAAGGTTTGGAATGACATGAGGGCATGACATTTTCAGTTTTGGGTGAACTATCCCCGTAAGTATGAGATTTTATGTGATGATAATGCTATTAAACGGCAAGCAGAAAAAAAGGAGTTTGGTATGTCAGAGTAACATATTAACTGCATTATCCTACTGAATATATGATGTTTTTCATGGTCATTAGAGCATTGTTTCCTCTTGTTGACTTCATTAAATTTCACCCAAAGTGATCACGGATGTTGCACGGGAAGGAGAGGAAACAGACATGGAGAGAAAGAGAGAGGGATGGGGTCATGGGGGGATGAGTGGGCATATGCCAGTTGTTAAGAAACTGAGAGAGATGGGGACCTACAGAGGAATGCTGGAGGGATGAGAGACGAGAGAGAGGGAGCGAGAGAACAAGAGAGGGCTAGAGGGCTGATATTTAATGTGATAAATGGATTGTGACAGCGTGTCTCCAAACCCCCTCCAACCGGAGAGGAAGACCACAGAAATAGAAGGCAGGGCTGGGGAGAGGAAAATGGATTTAAACAAGAAGGATAGAAAACTGTGCAAAAATGACAAAACGGATCAAAAGTAACGAATGTTCTTGCTAATTTTACTCCAAACTAGATGATGCCATTACTAGGAAATTCCTTAATAGGAATGTGAAGTTAAAGGGAAATGAATTCCTGTCATTTACTCACCAGCATGTCATTTCAAACCTGTATGACTTTCTTTCTTTAGCGAGACAAATTGTGAAGGCTGTGCTGGTTGATCTTCTCCATGCAGTATTAGTGAATGGGGTTTGCAGCTTTCAAGCTTCCTACACTGTAAACCCGAATAAGTTGGCACAACTCAAAAAATTTAAGGCAATAAATTGCCTCAAATTTTTTAAGTTAAGAAATTCAAAAAGTTTAAGTAAGCAGAACTGACATATTTTTATTTTGTGTTTGTACATTTGAATTGTTCTTAACTTGAAATGTTTGAGTACACTAATTCATACATTTAACTTAAAATTTCATGTAATCTCAATGTGAACACTTTTATTAGTATAAACTTAGCTAGCTTTAACAAGCTAGTTTGCTAACATACTATTTTGTTAACTTCTTAACAATAGTATGCTATACAGTAACACTTGCAGCAATATAAAGGTTTTATTTGCTCTCAAATCAAGCTCATGCACCACTTGTCACCATGATGGTAACTATCCTAAAACCAACATTAACAGAAATTCTTCTAAATTAGCATAACGAAACATTAATCATTACTAAATCACCCGCTTAACATTAATCTTGCACAAAAAAACATTGTATTACACTTAATTTTAGCATTTACTCTCCCTTTCGAGTGCGATCGGCAAAGCATGCTGGGAAATATACATCCCAGCCGTTTCAGTTAAACTTAAGTTCGTCTAAATTAAAAAAAATAATTTCATAAAACTCAAAACAATGAAACAGTTCAGTTTACTTCAAATATATCCATTCTGTGAACTTGAAAGAAAAAGAAAGTGCTAAATACTCATAAAAGTTAATTTGACTGAACTAATTAGTTTAATTTAAGTTTGTCCTACTCAAACCAATTAAGTATTTTGAGCGTTAGGGTTTACAGTGTACGGGAAATAAAAGTGGTCCATGTGACATGATGTTGGAAGCAAGGTTATTTTAGCCATCATATGGTGTTTTCTATTTTAATGCTTCTATTTAGTTTTTTTTTTTTTTTTTTTTTAAGAAATCTTATTACTTATTTTATTTTGCCAAGGTAACATTTCTAATTCTTTAATTTTATTTTACGGTTTTCATTTAATATTTATATTTTGTTTTATTTCAGCTTTATTCAGTCTCTTTAAATCCCTCCTTTCCAAGAGTCTACTCTGCTCTGATTGGTCAGATGACCCAGTCTGTTGTGATTGGTCTACTCTGCTCTGATTGGTCAGATGACCCAGTCTGTTGTGATTGGTCTACTCTGCTCTCATTGGTCAGATGACCCAGTCTGTTGTGATTGGTCTACTCTGCTCTGATTGGTCAGATGCCCCAGTCTGTTGTGATTGGTCTACTCTGCTCTGATTGGTCAGATGACCCAGTCTGTTGTGATTGGTCTACTCTGCTCTGATTGGTCAGATGCCCCAGTCTGTTGTAAATGGTCTACTCTGCTCTGATTGGTCAGACGCCCCAGTCTGTTGTGATTGGTCTACTCTGCTCTGATTGGTCAGATGCCCCAGTCTGTTGTGATTGGTCTACTCTGCTCTGATTGGTCAGATGGCCCAGTCTGTTGTGATTGGTTTACTCTGCTCTGATTGGTCAGATGACCCAGTCTGTTGTGATTGGTCTACTCTGCTCTGATTGGTCAGATGGCCCAGTCTGTTGTGATTGGTTTACTCTGCTCTGATTGGTCAGACGCCCCAGTCTGTTGTGATTGGTCTACTCTGCTCTGATTGGTCAGATGGCCCAGTCTGTTATGATTGGTCTACTCTGCTCTGATTGGTCAGACGGTCCATGCCTGTTGGTCTACCGCTTTCAGCGTGTGTTGGGAACCAAAATGTCCATTACCATATCTGAATTTCAACTTCGGATGCTTACACAGCACATGATACACAGTAATATTAACAGTAACGATGGTGTCTGTTTTTCCATATAAATTCCAGCGTGAGTCCTCGTCCTTTTGAAGTGCATCAAAGTGGATTCTCAGCGCTGAAAACAGCATCTTCTTGACATGAACAACACAAACCAAACTCTTCCAGGCTCAGCTACAACTAAAGTGTCTGAGGGTCAAAGTTGCCATTTTTCACAGGCAGCCAATGAAGACCATAGACTGGCATTATGCAAATGTGTTCCATTGTTCCATTGTAACAAACAGCTATATTACACACTGCATGAAAGGTAATATTCGAAAAAGCATAATAGGGGCACTTTAAGTCGTTTTACTTTTATTCACTGAAAATCTTAACACCCTTTCTTTTCCTTTATAGTGATTCATAAATAATATTGAGTTTTTGAGTCTAGAGTCCTGAATCAGTTGATTCGGACAACTTTTGTGAAATTATCTGATTTACTTTGGTGCTTTAGTGTCATTTTTTGATCTTAAAAAAATTCAAAATGAAACCCAAGAATGAAAATTCTGGACACACACGCACGCACACACACATTTGGGTGAACTATCCCTTCAAGTCTCCATTCCTTATACTATAGTACATGGAAAAGAGAAAACTAGTACACTTCACAATTTCTCCTTTTGTGTTCTACAGAAGAAAGAATGTCATGTAGGTTTGCGACAATGTGAGGGTGGATAAAAATCATGACGACTTTCAGTTTTGAAAGGAATAGAAAAAGTGAACAAGGAAGGTTGCAAACTGCCTCCTGGTGGACCTGGAAAAAGAAAGAAAGAAAGTAAAAGAAACTAGTACTAAGCGAAGAAAAGAAGAATGCGGGGAAAATATGAGTTGCCCTTACTTAATTTACAACATTCTTGATTTCAGTCCAATTAAAGATCCACCACAACTCAGGCTCTGAATGAAAGCTTTCATTGTAAGTCAGTTCTTCAAGCTGGAGACTCAGGCTTGTCTGGAGTATCAAATATCCTCCTGTGTGTCAGAGAAAGAGAGCGACTCTGGTGGATAGGATACCATGTTTTGCGGGTGAAGAAATGTGTCTGGAATTTGGTATCAAGGGACACGTTCCTTCTTCCAAAAAACCACATTGACTTACTCAGACGATTGATTGTAAGAGTGAAATTGCTCAGGAGATGTAGGCGTAATGCTGCGTTTCAGTCATTGAGATTGTTACTTGTTTTAGTCAGTCATATGAACTTTTCTTAATGTCAGGTTTTATTAATTTAATCATTTCCGTCATCAATTACTTACCCTAATATCAAACCCCTCAGACTTTCTTTCTTCTAAGGAATATTTACCCCCTATTTCACATGCAAGGCTTAAGTCTAGTCTCAAACTAAAATGCATGTTTGAGTTGTCTGAACTGAAAGCAACTTATCCTAAAATATGTCAGTGCCATTGTTTTGTCTCAAGATGCACACCAGTAATGTTTTTTTTTCTAAGGCACGTTTATAAAAGCTACATAAATGTCCTAATATTGAATAAAGGCCTAATCCTGGCTTAATCTAAACCCTGTCTGTGAAACCAGGCCATAGTTAAGCAGATGCTAAACTGCTAAAGACTCGTTACACGTTGAACGCCAGTGATTGGTTGTCATATGTCACATGACTGATCGCAACGCAGCAAGGCTGAATAGATATATAAATGATTAAAATATGATTGAGAAATTTCGTTTTTGTGTGAACGTTTCCTTTAATATATTCTCCAAAACAACTCATTATCCTGATATAATCTCTGCCAGTTTTATTAACATAATCGAATACTTTTTACATACAGTTTAACTTGCGCTGCATCAAACACATGAAGTAAACCGAACTAGAGCCTCAGTTCTTTCAGTAATTGCACTGTTTTTGTTACACAAACACTCATGACATATATATTTATATATATATCAATATTTGTAATAATAATTGTGGCTGTTGTGTTTCAGTGCGGACGGCGCGGTTCTCTCAGGAGCCTGCAGACCAGTCAGTGGTTCTGGGCCAGAGGGTGGTCCTGTCCTGCGTGGTCTTCAACTATTCGGGCATTGTGCAGTGGACCAAGGATGGGCTGGCCTTAGGCATCGGAGAAGACCTCCGGGGTCAGTGATACATAGCGCTCTTTCTTTCTTTCTTTCTTTTCTTTCTTTCTTTCTTTCTTTGGCCTTTCATATTTTTAAGTCTAAAGATGTTTCTAGTCGAATAGTAGTTGTTCATTAGTCGACTAAATGCATGTTTATATTCATTTAATTACTTTAATATATACTGAGGAAAATACTAAACCATAATGAGCGTTTAATATATATAGGCGTAATATATAGCCTATTCCACTCTCAAGCGCACACATAAGCTTGCTGTAAAGCACCGGCAGAAGCAATGATTATGAATGTGCCGGAAAAAAACAGCAAAGAGACATAATTGTTTATTGATAAACTAGTGTTTTCTGAGTCAGTGTCGGCTGCAAAGATGAATTTGACGATGCTGAGTCGCCATCTCTGCAGTAAAGTGAATGCTCCTTTAGAGAAAAATGCAATTACATAATCAGAGAGCTTTCGATTCTAATTTGGTTCATTTAAAAGTAGACATTTCAAGCTTTCTATATATATATTTCTGATGTCTGTGAGGCAAGTAGCCTATGTGCGGTGAGTTACGGTTCATTTTTGTGATGCACTCCAGTTCACTGAGACAGAGATGGCAGAAAGCGTATTACGTTTGTTTTCTTTATTTTACAGAAGCACAACATTTTGTTGTTATTGATTGTTTACTCAAATAAAAGTAGACACTTTACGGTTTCAAAAATGCAAGTGATCGCACCGGCGCCTCCATGTCATGCAGTTCTAATACTTCAGCTTATAATACACAAACACTAATAATAATAATAATAATAATAATGTACATTTATCTAGCTTAACGTTAGAGCGAGTGGCCATGTAAAGTTGCTACTACTTGTTTCAAATGATGAGCTATATTTGAAGTTGATGGATGATCGGCAAACATTTGGATTTACTATCATACTATAATTACCACAAGGATCCGCCGTTAACCCTCTGTCCCTCACGGACTGCGTGACTTTGCCACTTCCAGTTGTTTTATTTTCTGCAACTAACTGACTAATGAAATGTTGGTCAACTAAGGGCCCGTTTACACAACACCGTTTTCAACTAAAAACAGAAAATTTTGAAAGCGTTTTGGCCGTTCATTTACACGACAACAGCGTTTTGGGAGAAAACGGAAACTTTTGAAAAGTTTTTTTTTAAGTGCACGTATTTGAGAATGATACCGTTATTGTCTCTGTGTAAACTACAAAAACACGAATTTGTGAAAATGGTGATGTCACGCACATGTGTATCACGTGTTAAGTCTGTAGGTGTTTCTTTACAAAGTGACATCGCCAACTACTGGTTGGCAGCAGAATATAGCGTTTTTAATAGTTCTCACACAGAACCGTGTGAATGGGGATCGTTTTGACAACGTTGTCGTCTATACAAAAAAAAAAAACTTTACCGTTTTTAGTACATCATTGTCAGGTATATGTACCCATAGCTTCTTCTCATCGACTAACGTTTAGTCGACTATAAGGGGGCAGCCCTACTACAAAACCAATCACCCTAGCAAACACTTAGAAACACAAACACACACACAAACAGCCAGGACACCTTAGCAATAGATTGGCAACACTTTCCTTCATAAAATGTAAGAATGTGTGTATTTCTTTCTCTCTCTTAAACTTTGTAGTTTTCCCTATGTACACCCTTTCAATTTCATCTCTCATCTGTCTCACTGTTTCCCTGTTTGCTTGTTTTCTGTCTAACTTTTATCCTCTCTTCCCTTTTGCTCTTTTGCTTTCTGCTCCACTAGCTCATCTTTTCTCGCTCCTTGTGGACTGTCATGAGAACAGAGAGGGCAGGATGTGGTATTTTTAACCTCTGCCATTATAAATAGATAAATGTGGACCTGATAAACTACATTTGCTGCATTTGCCAGATTTGTTAAAAGACATGAGGCATGAGGGAGATTTCTCTTTCTTGCTCTCTCTCTCTCGCTCTCTTGCTCTCTCACTTTGACTCAGTGTAGTTGTATTTACACTGTGATGCTTCACTGGTTTGTCCCCGTGGCTTTCATATAAAAGCATGTGAACAAATCCTGCACTCACACACACATACACAAATGTGCACACGCAGAAATACATCCGCACGTACTCAGCGGCGCACAGCACACACTGACAACTCAATCCCACAGTAGAGAGAGGGCTGTGTGGGTTGGGGATGCGTGATGTAATTCACAGCAGAATTTTTGTCATTTCTCTTGCAGCAGAAGCTGGAAATGTCCATGTCATAGCGCTAGCATATATCATGCAAACTCTACTGGCATCCAGTGGTGGATAACATCACTGCACTGCAAGCTAGGTTTTTTCTTTGTTAGTAGGCAAGCGTCTCTTACTATTGCTTAGAGATCTGAGATTTGAACAAACCTTTAACCTTAAGTATTAAAACCATTTTTGTGGACTTAATTTTCACTTGGGCCAATAGACAACCACCCAAAACACCCCAGCAAGTGCAAAAGCAACGCACTAGAAACCACATAGCAACACACTAAGGGGCAGATTTACAAAACAGGGCAAATAAGCGTGAGAGTGTAACTAATTCCCAAAAAATGCAGATGTGAGTGGAAAGTTCTGCAAGTCATCTCTTGATGACGCCGCGCAAATCAAAGAACACAGACGCAGCCGGATCATTTCCATAATGACCAACGCAATCTACCAAGAGAGCGTCTGGTTTAAAACAATGCTTTTTTGGGGCGGTAAATGATGGCGGAAATACCAGTATATTGTCTAGCGCAAACCTTAGTAAATCACCTTGCGTGATTCAATTAAAATTAAATACTCTCCTCCCATAAATTTTGCATCTGAAAAAGAAACTCCTACAAATGCATGTGCAATAAGGCCGGCCGCAAAAATAACCATCCAAGCTTTTCAGCACAAATTTTTCACTGCGTAAATCCTGACAGTTGTTTTTTTTTAAGCCAAAAGATGGTTTGCGCTGGCTCAAGCTGTTGGTAAATCTGGCCCTAAGAACCCTTTCACACAGAGCTTGTTTTTTTATTTATTTCACTATGCTGCTTTTCCATTGTTTTTCTATGTAAAAATGCAAGCATCTTTTGACCGTCGTGCTTCTTTGCAGCGTATTGCGCATAACATTGCACTCTAAAAATGCAGTGCTCAAGTTAAGCTTTTATAAAACGTGTCTTGAGACCATGCCTGTGTCTCGCGTTTTTTCTCGTTCAGTGTGAATGGCCTTTAAAAGCTATCAGAACACTGTAGCGACCACATAGCAAAACATTAAAAACCACTCTGAATGCTTTAGCAACCTCATTGCAACACTAAAACTATGCAGAACACCAGATAGCAACACACAAGAAACAACCCATGACTGCATAACAACACACTAAAAACCAATCAGACCACTCACTTTTCCTTCAGAAAATGCCAAATTGCCCAGTCAGTGTGTTTTTGTGTTCAAATAAAGACTATCTACCTCCAAAACGTGACAAATTCTGATCTGCGTGTCTTTTCGCAGCCTGGCCCCGGTATCGTGTGTTAAGGCTGGTGGATGTTGGGCAGTATAATCTGGAGATCTCGGCCGCTGAACTCTCAGATGACTCTCTCTACGAGTGCCAGGCGACGGAGGCTGCGCTGCGCTCACGACGGGCCAAACTCACCGTCCTCAGTGAGTCTTGTGTGTTTGCTTAGAAAAGAACCTCTATGGTCATGCATTCTATAGCTTGTTGTTTTAAATGTTGACTATGATGGTTTTGCCTGAATATGAGGAGTGAAGGGGTTAATCTGTTATGAAATGAATAGATTTATGAGTTGCTTCCATTAATAATTGAACTCCACATGTGTTTGTGTCTGTAGTTCCTCCCGATGAGCCGGTGATTGAGGGGTCCCCGGAGATCCTCCTCACAGCAGGGGTTCCCTATAACATGAGCTGTGTGTCCCGTGGAGCCAAACCTGCCTCCGTCATAGAGTGGCAGAAAGACGGCCTGCCGATAGAAGGGACTGTCAGCACCACGGTGAGGCACACACATGCCAAAGTTTTGACTCGTCTGAGTTTAAATGTAAATGAAAGCTTATGTAGCTCAAGAACAAAGGTATCAACCATAGGCTGTAAAACGAGATGGACAAGCGTGTCTCTGCTTCCTTCCACTGTAGAAGGAAAATATCCAAAATATCCCAGTGAACACACACACACTGCAAACCGAGGACACACACACCCGGAGCCAGAGTCTGTGCAGTAATAGACCCGCGGTATCGAGGTCTCGCCCACACTCTCGCTCCCTCAGACTCAATCGCATCACAGCTGTCAATCACGACGTTACACCCAGTTTATAGCATCAAATAACTAAAAAACCAAACTGATTGGAAAAAAGAACACTTGAATAAATGTCTACCTAAAATGGCGGAAACCGTCTTTGGAAAAAAAATTTATTTTAAGGGCGGGGTTTATGACCTATACTGCAGCCAGCCACCAGGGGGCGATCAAAATGCTTTGGCTTTACTTTTCAGCACTTGTGCGGCACACTTGGGCCCTGTCCCAAATGGCACACTCCGGACTTGTGGACCTCCTCAGAGTCCACACTTCGGTGACGTCATGTAGTGCAGACCTATAGGGCCCTTAGCGCGAGTCCGCGAGGGCGCATTGAGACGTATTTTTGGGACAGACTCGATCGTCACACCGAAAACAGGAAGACGGTCTGATTGTTGTTATGGACAGGAGCTACAGGTTCGGGGAAATATGCTGCCTATTGTTGTTGTGTTTACATATGACTCAGTAAAGCCCTGACATTCTGTTCTGTTTATTTAATGAATCATAATGCGATCGTATTATTCAGCTCGCTATTATTAGCCTATGTTTGAGAGATCATAATGTTTGCATAAACTTGTCATAAAAACCATAATGATAATTACACTTAAATATTTTCTTCTCAGCCATGTTAACAATTGTCCGTGAGCGAAATCCGTTGTCTGCTTGGCCTTTCGCAAGGATTCCTGGGTAGTTAAAGTGCGTGGAGCCTGCATCTATGCGGGCTTCGCAGAAGACCGCTTCAAGGGTACAAAGGGGGCGCTGCTGAGCACACTTCAGAGCGTTAAAATGCTAAATGGGACGGCCTCTGGACTCGTAGACTCGGCGAGCACGCGCAATTTAAATCCACAAGACCGAAAGTCTGCATGAAGTGCGCCATTTGGGACAGGGCCTTGGTATGCATCATTAGCGGCTGTTTCTATAGGCCGATATACATAAGCCATCTGCCATATTGGAACGGTCAAAGCTGGTATGTGAACATTCGAAAGCAAGTTGACTGAGCGTCTGCAAACGTAGTTAGACGCACGTATGAATATCTACAGTACATCTGAAACTAAACTAACACAATACAACAAGACGAAGGCATTAGCTAACACGAGTTTAAAAATCTGGCTATGTATACATATCTCGGGTATCAACAGTATCATTTTGTTGCGCAGGAGGTGCTTCAAGACAGGAAACGCGTGACCACACGCAGCTTCCTGCCCATTCTACCAGTGGATACAGACACTGGGAAGAACTTCACCTGTGTGGCTACTAACCTGGCCGTGCCGATGGGCAAACGGACCACTATCACCCTCAACGTACACCGTGAGTCTAAAACCCTTTCCAGCTTTAGTAACATTTATGAGGAAAGTTATTTACATTTTTTATTTTTTGTGGTGCAGTGTAAAAAAATATATATTTCAGTCATATCCACCTTATTTTGCAACGCAGAAGCTATTTTCTGTGAATGTGCGAGACTTCTGATTCATTAGCTGCTATAGGTTAATAACTAGAAGTAATAAAATGCAACAAAGAAAAACTGTTAGCGCTACACTCCGGTGTGTTTATAATTACGACAATATGTTAAAATAATATGGTAAGAATTACCCGTTTGCAATAGTTCGAGCAGCATAACCAGCTGTTTTGTACAGCTAAATATAACTGGAAACTGGAGACCGGAAGACAAGACACTTTCGGTTTACAAATGGCTGTGCCGCTTTTACGTGAAAAATAAGGTGGATAAATATACATTGAAAATCAATATCAATAAACTAAATAATACATCAGGCAGTAGTTTGTATTATGCATACACTGCCATTCAAAAAATATTTATTTTAAATTGTAATAATATTTCACAACATTACCGTTTGTTTTTTTCTTACAAATTATGTATGAACAGTAATATATGAATTTATGACAAGAGTGCGCCTCAAAAAATTGACGTCATTACAGGAGTTTCTGACCTTTGTCACAAAAAGTTGACGCACACACTTTTAATAATTGAAACTTTGGTTTTTAATGCTAAAAGTTCATAATAAAACATAATCTAGTATTTGTCAATAAAAAAGATAAAATTATGTTTTAAAGAAAAGTAAAGTAAAAAGTCCTCTAAAAAATAAAATATATAATATATATATTATCACATATTTTAGTAGTTATCATAAATTAAGTATCATTTGAAAGCTTACGAACTCAGAATTTATCCTGTGAAAACCGTTTTGAAATTGGACGTTGCGTTACCATAGAAACGGTATTTTTGTATTAGGCCCCTCCCCTTTTGGGCAACATCTTTCATAATTTATTATCAAAAATGTTCTAATCTTGACAAAACACATATTGTCAGAAAGGTCTGAGTCTCAAGGTTCCATATTTAGTGACAGAAGTGATATTTGGATAGAAATGTATTAATTTGTTATGGCAGAATGCATACAATTAAATTCAATGGAATGCAATGGCACCCGGTGGGTATTTTTGGTAATAAACAAAATCTCATGGGAACTTCAATGTTTGTGATATCAACTTCAAATTTGGAACACAACTTGGTTAGATATATGGCTTTGACTTTCTGTCATTTTTAGGCTGAAACCTATATTAATTTATATATATTTTTAATAAAAGAAAAAAAAATATTTTATTATATTTTCATAACAATAAACTTAAACTTCAATAACTTTTAAATAATTTAATTCTATTAATTTATTCCACTTCAGCAATAATCTGCCAAGAGTCTTCTTTTAAAAGAGACAAACCGTTAGTCTTTAGTACAAAGGCTTCATGAATTACATCCGTTTAAGTTTGGGTAGTGCATTTTCACGTTAACGCTCAAAAAGGGGGGTGACAGCTAAAGGGTTAAAAACATCTTACCAACCCAAATCTTTTGAACTTTAATGCATGTATAATATAGTAATGAATTGTCCGTTGTGGGCTGTGATGGGCCAATATAAATCAAGGGCTCCTTTTTTAGTCTCAGTCCATTCCTGGTGCCATTGTTTCTCTTAAATAGCGATTTCTACCTGATCTAACCCTTAAAAATGACTTCTATTGCTGATCTAATTTAGTCAGGTGGACTCAGTCATATTGAATAATATTTTGGCTTAAATAAAACCCATTCATTTAGATATTACATATCACATAAAACACATTTTTAGGCAACCTGACCAAACATATTTTGCAGTGTGGGAAAAGAAACGTGAGAGAGAAGGCCAGTCGGTCCTGCATTCATTTAAACCGTCAAAGATGTTAAAACCCCTTTAAGATGATGGCTTGAACTGGGAAGAACTGTGACATTCATCTACAGTCTGACACTATATCCGTAGCTCCTTCCCGTCAGTCCTTCAGCGTGCCTTTGGTCTAATGAACGATATGTCTTTATTATGTATTCTGAATGCTCTCTGCAGACCCTCCAGTGGTGACGTTATCCATTGAGCCTCGCTCCGTATTGGAAGGAGAGAGAGTGACCTTCACCTGCCAAGCCACTGCCAACCCACCTATTATGGGTTATAAGTATGTCTCTTACTAAATGTAATGCTTAAAGTGTCTCCTTTTACATTCTGTGAGATGAAAAATTAATGACTTGTTTTATCAGGGAGATAAAGACGTCCTTTAAGTATTATTAAGCCCCATATATCTTCAATTATTTTCTGTTACGGCAGCCGTACCCTTGAAGTCCTGTCTGTACATGCGTCAGGGGTGTTTCTTCATAAATCTGCTTATGCTTCACTGACTGGCCCCTTTTGGCTTGGCTAGGTGGGCAAAGGGAGGTGTGGTCATACAGGGGGCGAGAGAGAGTGTTTTTTTCACCAAGGCGGATCACTCTTTCTTCACCGAGCCTGTGTCCTGCCAGGTGTTCAATGCCGTGGGCAGCACTAATGTCAGTATACTCGTCGATGTCCACTGTGAGTATCAGCTTTGGAAATTCAGCGCGTAGAGCGCACAGCCTAGAAAATCTTCATGTGAAATTTAGTATGTGAAAGCAGATCACCAAATAATTAAATTGACTAATAATTAAAGATGTTTGTGTACACTGTGTGTCTGTATAGTGCAATGTACTGTATGTCTCTGTGTAAATGTTTGTTTGTGCTATTTTGTATAGTTTGTGTGCTTTCTATCTATCTATCTATCTATCTATCTATCTATCTATCTATCTATCTATCTATCTATCTATCTACATCTATCTATCTTTCTTTCTACATCTATCTATATATCTATCTGTCTGTCTGCCTATCTATCTATCTATCTATCTATCTATCTATCTATCTATCTATCTATCTATCTATCTATCTATCTATCTATCTATCTTTCTTTCTTTCTACATCTATCTATCTATCTTTCTTTCTATCTACATCTATCTATCTATCTATCTATCTATCTATCTATCTTTCTTTCTACATCTATCTATTTATCTTTCTATCTATATCTATCTATCTATCTATCTATCTATCTATCTATCTACATCTATCTATATATATGTCTATCTATCTTTCTTTCTATCTACATCTATCTATCTATCTATCTTTCTTTCTACATCTATTTATCAATGTATCTATCTACATCTATCTATATATATGTCTATCTACATCTATCTATCTATCTTTCTATCTACATCTATCTATCTATCTGTCTATCTGTCTATCTATCTATCTATCTATCTATCTATCTATCTATCTATCTATCTATCTATCTATCTATCTATCTATCTATCTATCTATCTATCTATCTCTCTGTCTGTCTCTGTCTGTCTGTCTGTCTGTCTGTCTAGTAAACATTTCCAGTTGATTTTTCTGTTTAAATGCAAAGAAACGGAGCTGTTATTATCCTCTGTTTCACGCAGTTGGGCCTATCCTGGTTGTAGAGCCTAAACCAGTAACGGTGGACTTAGACTCGGACGTCACTTTAAATTGCAAGTGGGCTGGAAATCCTCCGCTCACACTAACCTGGACAAAGAAGGGTTCAAGCATGGTGAGCATCTGCCTGTAGATCTGTTTATCAAACCTCCTTTCTGTTGCATGTGCAGTTTCTTCTTTCTTCTCCTTCTTTTTTTCTCTAAAGTGTACTTTCTGTCAGACTATGACATTTTCCTCTGACTTTATCTCTCATCAGTGAGTGTTCTCCATGTGTGTCCCTCTTTTCCTGGCTCTCTTCCATATTTACCTTCCCAACTGTGTTTTGATGTTGAAGATGCAATCCTTTGCTCCATTTGTTTCTTTTTAGATAATGTCTACATTGAAATGGCTTTACAACTTTTTTGGTCCTTTTTCCCTCCCCCTCTCTCTCTCTCTCTCTCTCTCTCTCTCTCTCTCTCTCTCTCTCCCTAACACACAGGTTTTGAGTAATAATAACCAGCTCTATCTGAAGTCAGTAAGTCAGGCAGATGCTGGTCAGTATGTGTGTAAGGCCATCGTGCCTAGGATCGGAGTGGGCGAGACAGAGGTCACACTCACTGTCAACGGTCAGTACAGTTCTTTTATCTTATTGGACCAACAGAAATAATAAATCTGTTTTAAAAATCAGGCAGCTTTTAAAGGGCCCCTATTATGGATTTTTTTCATGTAGTGTGTAACATATAGCTCTAAGTGAATGAAAACATCCTGCAAAGTTTTAAATCTGAAAGTGCACGTATATAAAGTTATGGTCTTTCAAAAGTAAGAGTCGACTCTGAGTCAATGAAATGAATCGTTTTTTTAACGAGTCATAAGCCTATGTTGTGACGTCAAGAAGAAACATTAGCATATTATTAAGATGAAACATTAGCATATTGCCCGCCCACTTATTGCGCGCGCAGACACCAGGGAAAACTTGAACCTCAAACCTCAAACTTGAACCTCAAACTTGAACCCAGTTTTTTTTCACTCTCCAAGGACAAGCATGTGAAGAATCAGTGGTTAAAATGAATCTTTACCACAATACCACAGCAGTGTAATCCTAAACTTTTGCTGTGTTCCCTTTATTTTACTGACGACGACTTCTTAAATATCGGAGTTCAACGCAGGATTCGCAAACCGCTTGCTCTTGAAAGATGGTGTTCAAAATACACCATCTAATAATTGAGTTTGATATTGTTTAGGTCTCCTGCTAACTGCTTAACTCACATTATTACTTACTGAAATACTTCTGCTGATCAGCTGTGGGACACTATTACCTAAAACTGTGTCTATTAATGCAGATTGTCTGTCGTTCTCATTACTTTGAGGAAAGATTAAGCATGGAGCAAGATTTGCTTTACCAACGTTTATGTTACATCAGTCATTCATGCTAGAGCTCGGCTAAATTAGAAAAATACTCAGTAAATGAATAAGTACAAGTAAAATAATCGGTTTGTTGATGGACGTGCACTTGTTAATACTGATGGTGAGGAATGACAGCTGCAACATCTCGTAATGTACCTCAAACTGAGTAGCGTATCACTGAGAGACGTCCTGCTCGAGTCAGCCTTGCGATGGAGGTTCGGGTTGAATGACTAGTTCTTCCAGTGTTTCATTATTGGACTCGTGCTCGGATTGATATGGTAAAATCGACGTCATTGTTCGTCACTGTGTTTAGTTTATGGTGTAGGAAGCCTCAGGACACGCAAAGCTGACGTTGTTATGGCAATGGGCGTTTTTGTTTTCGACACACGCGCTGTATGCGGTAAACCAATCACTACAGACTGAGCTGTCTGGCCAATCAGAGCAGAGTAGCTCGCGGAAAGGAGGGATTTAGAGCGATTGATTCATCTTACGAGTCGTTTGAGAATCATTGTAAATGTGATGACGTGCAAATGTACACTACCGTTCAAAAGTTTGGGGTCGGTACGATTTTAAATACTTTTAAAAGAATTCTCTTCTGCTAACCATGGCTGCGCTTATTTGATTAAAAATACAACAAAAATCAGTTATAGTATTAAATATTATTCCAGTGTAAATCAGCTGTTTTCTGTGTGAATATATAGTAAAGTGTAATTTATTCCTGTGATCAAAGCTGAATTTTCAGCATCACCAGTGTCAGTGTCTTCAGTGTCAAATGATCCTTCACAAATCAGTATAATATGAGGATTTGATGCTCAAGAAACATTTATTATTATTATCAATGTTGAAACAGTTGTTGGTCTGTCAGTTGTACAGTTTTTTTTTATTTTTTTAGGATTCTTTGATGAATAGGAAGTTCAAAAGAACAGCATTTGTTTGAAATAGAATCTTTTGTAACATTATAAATGTCTTTACTGTCCTTGATAAATAAAAGTATTGATTTCTTTCCTCCAAAAAATAAAAATAAAATTCTCACTGACCCCAAACTTTTGAACGGTAGTGTATATTATGAGGAAATGAAACCGTTTTTTTTTTTACCTTTGATGCATGTAAACCTGTTGTAGGAGACTCTAAAACAAACAATATTAGGAAACTTTAAAATAGCATAATAGGGGCACTTTAAGATTTTTTTTTTAATCAATATTTAGCTCATTCTGAGTTCTGCATTGGAGGATCAGAACTTTATGTAGTTTATCTGGTAGTATGATTTCTGTCATTTATGTATTTTGCTTTGGACTGTATTTTTGTGCAGGTCCACCCATCATCTCCAGCGAACCGGTCCAGTATGCAGTTCGAGGGGAGAGAGGGGAAGTCAAGTGTTATATTGCCAGCACCCCTCCCCCTGACAAGATTGTAAGTCACATTTACATTTATGCTATTTTCCAGAGAAATGTACGAAAGTACTTCTAAACAATTGATATTTCACTGTTTTGCTGTTATTCACTAGTGGTTAATCAGACCAGGCCGCATGTGATTAATAGCTACGTTTAACATCATAGAGTGAAAGTTTATCATTTGCACGTGTTTTTTTTTTTTTTTTACATTGATTCCTCTTTCGCATCTCCTTGAGCTTGAACGGACACATACACACAAAATGTCAAAATACCCGTCTCGGCAAGTATTCTCGAAAACACAGTCGGTTATGTCTTATGTGAACGTAAACAGTTGAAAAAGAAATCTGAGGTGTATCATTATATTGGATCCATTCATTAGGTCTTAAAGTGACAGTAACCTATAAATTCCTGCTGCTGTCTATGTTAATCAATTCTGTGGGAAATCGGGTTTAAAATTTTCACTTCAGACAACTAAGACTGAATTTTATTTTATTTTATTTTTTTAAACAGCTTTTTGGTTAACTCAAACTCAACTCTAACTCAACTAACTCAAACTAGACCTGATCCCAAGGCAAATCTCTCTGCTGTGGCTCAGTATATGTGGCTTTCAAACGCATCCTTTCTCTGAAACTACAAGTGATTCTAATTTAAAATGACTCTCAGCTCAGACCCCGATGCATCTCCAGGATGAGATTTATGAAATATGAAATATGGGCAGAGCAGTCGTTCCTTTTAATGCTGTAGCTTTTTCACATGTCTTGGTTTGTGAGGTAAATGGAAGCTTACCATGAGCATGTGGAGGTATGCATTTTTAAATATTCTCACAGCTCAGCATGAATAATACAACAGTTTTAGTGGTTTTGAAAGGAGAACTGGTGCTTTCTCACCATTATCCAGCCCCATGTTTCAGCACAGAAAGGCCATTTATCCCATTGCCGGTGTGAAATATGTGTTCATGCGGGCAATGCGAAGCAGATACAGTTCAGGTACATTTTATGCACTTGAATATGCTTTTTAAATCCTAAATATTTATAAAGGATTTCTTTTTTCACTCCTGTTTGAAAGGTACAGATTATGCATTATTTTTGGTCCACTTGCTTCTTGCAGGAACACTGCAGATGGCGGTGATATTATTTTATTTTATTTTATTTCATTATTTATTTCTCAGGCATTTCTAGATGGTATTTAAATGTATCATTATTTTTATATGTATCATTTTTAATGTTCACATTAGGGCTATATTTTTATTTAGTTTTGTATTTTCATGTGGAACTTAGGAAGAAGACAGGTGACCATTTTACTGAAGCATTTTGTGGGTCAAAATAATCATTATTATCATCGTTGTCCCAAAAAATGCTACTTTTCAGGAAATGGAAAAAAAACAACAACATATTTTTAAAGTAATTAAACACCTCATAACAATTATTATCGTCGTTGTCCCCAGGAAATTAAAAAAAAAAAAACTTATTTTTAAAGTAATTAAACACCTCATTGTCATAGTTGATATTGTAGCTTTATATATGGCCAGACACTTGTTGCATGAGTCATTTTATTATCATTTTACCAAAATCAAGCTCAAATAGTTAAGATGTTTTTGACTGGTGAATTTTGGACATAACTGTTTTGTTCGTCATTAGAACAGCCGAATCTGAGGCAGTAAGTGCATCACATTACGTTTTCATCAACTTACAGGTTATAAATTTTACTGTCGCTCAGTTTTTTATGTCCAAAAGCTCATGTTATTAAACAGGTGGACAGATTACTTCGCACAGGCTGTTAAAGACAGTATTGGCTATGAGTATGACTCGACAAATGCTAGACTACAACACTCTTCTCTGCTTCTCAAATACATAAAATACATAAAACGTTGGCCTTTATATATAGTTTTTCTTGAGTAAAGAAAACACTGTACTAATTCAAATAAGTATTTTAATAAATAAGTATATTATTCAATATTATCTATCTCTCTCTCTCTCAATATATATATATATATAGGGCATATATGCCGGTATATATATTTGAACCTGCACATTTCTTAGTCTTGCAGATGCATGTGAGTGATCTCTGTGTGTTTTCCCCAGGTGTGGGCATGGAAGGAGAACGTGTGGGAAAAGGAGAAGGGGACCCTATCAGAACGATACACGGTAGAACAGAGCAAACTGAGCTCGCAGGGTGGCGCAGTGCTGTCTACCCTCACCATCAACAACGTCATGGAGTCAGACTTCCAGTCGACGTACAACTGCACTGCGTGGAATTCATTCGGCCCGGGGACCATGATCATCACACTGGAGGAGACCGGTGAGGAGACGTGCCTGAGTTTGCACATATATGATGCTGCTAAATAAGGGAGACATATATTTTATATATGCTGTATATACAGCGCTGGGTAGTAACTGATTATATTTAACCTGGATTACTTTATCAGATTCCTAAACATATTTATTTGTAATTAGATTACCAGTATAGTGCATTTTAAAATACCGGTACTGATAATCAGACTAGTTAAATTTTTATTGATCACTTGTACATTTTTATTTAATATTTACAAAATGGCTGTAAATTATTCATAATTTATTGTTTCCCACTAATTCATATTTTTATCTTTTAAATTGTGCTTTAACCTATTGCTTAAGTATGTAATCTACCCAGCACAGTGTGTGTGTGTGTGTGTATATACAGTTTAGTCTACAAATTAGTCATGATTTGTACAGTTCGTGTCTATAAAAGTTCACTGTGCTGCTGCGTCATCCTCAGAGTACAGTAGACTACTCTACCGAAGTAAAAGAGGACAGTCTTCAATAATAAATATCTTGAATGGAATCTCCTAAATTTACTTCAGATTACGTCAAGTCAGGTTAAGAGTTCTCTCTACTCAATATACAGTTTGTAAGTACAGTTATACGGGTACATTGTAGAGATTAACACACATCCATGACACACTGGACCTGTGACGCATGAGTCTGATCTGCGTCATATTACAATACCATTCCCTCTTTCCTTCTGTCTTTCTATCTGTCCTTTTATGTCCTGATGATTAAAAGCAAAAAGACCATCAATAAAAAGCTACAATTTTAAAACGCATAGTGGTGCTTATGTTTTTCTTTGTTTTTTTTTCCTTTGCCACAGAGATAGTTCCAGTCGGGATCATTGCGGGCGGCACCGTCGGCTGTTCGATTCTGCTTCTCCTGTGTTTACTAGCGTTAGTGCTGTTTTTGTACCGGCAACGCAAAGGAAGTAAGTTACCAAAGCCCACCAAAAGAGTTTTCTTACACCTTTTTTCACAATTAGGTATTAATAAAATTATTTAATTATACATTACTCTTCAAAAGTTTGAGGTCAGATTTTTTTTATGTTTATCAAAATGCTCACCAAGGTTGAATTTCTTTGATTAAAAATACAGTAAAAACAGTAATATTGTGAAATATTATTACAATTTAAAATGACTGTTTTTGATTTGGATATTTTTTTAAATGTTCCTGTTGGATAAGTTCCTAAAATAGCATTGAATTATTTTAAATAGTGTACATGTTTTCAAACAGCATCACACAATTGTGTAAACCTGTAATTAGAAGCATAGTTTCTTGTTTGAGTGACATGTGGACTTAATAAATCCTTATCTTTAGCAAAAATAAGCGAGACGACATTCAGTAAAACCTATATCTTTTATTTCGAAAATATATACAAATGTAATTTACGTCTTTTAGTTTGTCAAGAGATTTAAAGCACCGTTTTTGAAGAGTGCGCATGTGCGAACGTGCTCTAGTAAGTAAGAACGAGCCTATGGTTGAATCTGGAAATGAAGCAAAATAACTGAGAAAAATGAGAATTAGTCCTCAGATGTTATGTCTGTAATATATAGGAAATCATCTGCCATTAATTCGATCTCCAACAGAGTTATTTAACCCTCTGGGGACCAAGAACGCACCCGTGCGTTTTGGCAGATTTTTTTCACATAGCAGAAAAATAGACTTAAACTATCATTTCTGGTCATACAGAGTTATGAAACATATTAAAAAAAACTGTCAAAGGGATAGTTCGGCCAAAAATGATATTTAACACATGCATTACTCACCCTCAAGCCGTTCGAGATGCATATGTCAATCTTGTTTCAGACGAACACATTTTCAGTTATTTTAGAAAATGTCTTAGACCCTTCAGTGGATATAATGTGAAGCAATGGGGTCCACCTCCTTCAAGTCCCAAAATGTGCATACATCCTTCACAAAAGTAATCCATCCGGCTCCAGGGGGATAAACGAAGGCCTTCTGAGGGTAATCCGTGCGGTTTTGTCGTAAAAATATACATATTTAAAACTTTATAAATGAAAATATCTGACTTCCGGCAACGATCGACGCGCGTTCACGAGTGAACTGAGTGTAGTTTTGTTTTGCTCTGCTCTCTGGCTGCGCAGGCGCGTTCGTTCTACGTCACGACGGTTCCTACGCTACGTCATACCTCGTACGCCGACTTCCATCACCCGTTAACGCGCGTCGATCGTTGCCGGAAGTCAGATATTTTCATTTATAAAGTTTTAAATATGTATATTTTTACGACAAAACCGCACGGATTACCCTCAGAAGGCCTTCGTTTATCCCCCTGGAGCCGGATGGATTACTTTTGTGAAGGATGTATGCACATTTTGGGACTTGAAGGAGGTGGACCCCATTGCTTCACATTATATCCACTGAAGGGTCTAAGACATTTTCTAAAATAACTGAAAATGTGTTCGTCTGAAACAAGATTGACATATGCATCTCGAACGGCTTGAGGGTGAGTAATGCATGTGTTAAATATCATTTTTGGCCGAACTATCCCTTTAAATGTCTACTTTTTTATGTGCCCACCTACAATCGAAATAAATTGAAATTTCTTTAACGATGCATACGCTACTTAAGCAGCGAGTTACATCGTTGCACGGGAAACGCACCCCTGTCTAGTGAGCTGTGTAAAAATAAATCTAATCTGAAACGGCAAGTCTTTCAAACAGCAACATGCAAGTTTGTCTTTGAGAATGTAGAAGCAAAAGTGCCTTTAAATACTCGAAAAACCCAAGGGCAATCAGCCATATTTAAGAACATAAATAATGGCCACAAAGACGTCAAAAAGCATGTTCGTAGCAGCAATAAATCCGAGGTTTACTGAGATGTTTACTTTCCAGGTCGTCGAGGGGTCACGCTCGGCAAGCCAGATATCAAGGTGGAGACCATAAACAAAGAGACCCACAGCCTGGAGGAAGACTCGGGTAGCGTCTCCACTGCAACACGCATGGTTAAGGCCATGTACTCTGTGAGTACTTCTGACAACACAACACAACAGCAATAACTGGAGGATGTAGAGGGACTTTGAAATTGTGAGGTATAATAGTGAATTGTTAGTTCACTTTAGACATAATACTAGTGATTTTGCAACTACATGTCAACTAGCAGTCAGAGTATTAGTATAGTTTTCTGCTTAATATCTGCTGCTAACACTTTATGTTGATGATCCCATAACAGACATTTTACTGAACATAAGTAACTCAACCTAACAGTCTAGTAATACTCTAATGAGAGTTAGACGTTTATAACTAGTATGATTAGGACTGCCCTGTACTGCATTAAATAATTTTGTTGATGAGCTAAGTTAAAACTCATGACCAGTTCAGTAGCTCACAACTGCTAAATTTTGTCAAGAATATTATAATTTATCATTCTGACAAGATTTAGGAAGGATAATTTGCATAATATTAATTATTCATAGTACTATGGTAATATTAAGTAAAAATGTATCTTGATTCAATGTTGTGTCTTTTTCCAGTAGTGATTGTGCCTTGTCCTGTGAAGATGATTCAATAATACTGACACTATTTCATTAATAATACACTTTTTTAAAATTTCACAAAAATTAAGTACTAATCAACCTTACTTCCTCCAATGTATTTCCTCTTAAATAACATTTCCGAAGCTCAAATTAATCCTTGTTCTCTCTCAACCTCCCTCTCTTCCTTTATATCCTTCCTCTCTTTTCCTCTTCTCATCTCCTGTTGGTTTTCCTCCCCTCTTACGTTGCATCTTTCTCTCCCCCTCTTGGTTGCTCTCTTGTCGTTTATGGTTTAGTTTTTACCTTCTGTGACCCTCTCTCCCTCCTCCCAGCCTTTTAAGGATGACATTGACCTCAAACAGGAGTTACGCAGTGACACGCTGGACACGCGCCAGGACTATGAGCTCAAGGTGAACAGACACACTTCCGATGCTTCACACACTAACACAAGCGATATATGACCTGTACTGTGTTTCACAAAAACATGCAGCTTCTATAGACCTCGACAGTCAGGTTACACACGCAAAAAATCCCATTCATTTCTCCGTAGAGAAATTAGCAACATCGTATTAAATATCGATATTTCTTTTTTGATTCTAGAAAATGCCATAACACTTTTTCGTTTACCGTTTACTTGCTTTGTTTAATAGTTCTATCTAATAAAGGACTGTTAAACGGAGACCTGTCCAGTGGTCAGTGCTCCGTCAAAATAAAAGTCTGACACATCGGACAAACTTTTCTGATTTTTCTGAGTTTAGAAGCCATAAGTGTAATTCTAACTATATTTTTTAATAAAACATGCTGATTTGTTGACTTCCCTACTTATAGTCTTTAACAGATCCCCATAATCGAGACAGTCTCACCACATTCTTAAACAACTAATATTTTTTAATATAGTTCAGTATTCTGCAATAATGTTTTTTTTTTTTTAATTGAATGTAGTTAAAATTTTATAATGTAGTGCACAGTGTCATCTGATTATGTTTTTTCGTTTGCAGTGCTTCATAACATTAGTATTTTATTTTACAATCAAATTAAATTCATTTTGTAATGGTCAAGAAAGTTGTGTAACATTGTTTTTTAAGTTACTTTTTGGTTTTAAATCGCTTGTAATGTTAGTCACTTAGTTGTTTTGTTTGGTTCGGTTCAGTTCATGGAGTTGTTAACTCGTGGAGAAAATGAATGGGGAAAATATTTCCAGAACCAAGACTGTGGTTCTAATTGAATTTTTTTTTTTAATCCATCGTTTCTACAGTGGGGTCTGTAAGAATCTCTTATGCTCACTATTGTGAAATTAGCCATTACTCCAGTCTTCAGTGTCACATGATCCTTCAGAAATCATTCTAATATGAAGATTTTTTTTTTTGCTCAAGAAACATTTATTATTATTATCAATGTTGAAACAAAGCAGTTAATAATTTTTTGTGGAAAAGTGATACATTTGTTTCCAGGAGTATTTGATGAATATAAAGTAACTTGGTTTTAATTTAATGGCTTAATAAAATGATTTAAAAAAATGTTACTCGGCAAACTTTTGACTGTCAGTGTGTATACGTTTGTATATAGCGGTTTTAGTTTTTGCCTAAACAAATTTCACTGAAGATGTTATCTTTTTTACAGGACCCAACAAACGGCTACTACAACGTGCGAGCTTCCACCCACGATGAGGGACGTCCCGCCTCCCGATCCATGCACTACTCAGACTATCGCACCTCGGGCCAGCCAGGGGGCGCTGCGGCCGTTGTTAGCAGTAGCTCAGGAGCTCCAGGAGCCACGGCAGGTCCGGGAACACCGAGCAGTTTGGCTCCGGGGTCACGAGCGGGCTGCTACGACCCTCGTCCTCCCTCCAGACTCTCACACAACAGCTATGCCCAATTCAACACGTTCACCCGCGCTGGGCAGTCCCAGCAGCCTCCGCCCAGTTCTGGCCCACAGACTAGCGACTTCCCTGCTGAATGCAGCCTCTTGGACTCGACCGCACAGCTCGGATATGAGAATTATGGCTACCCGTCGCACTATCCGGCGTTTCGGATGGGTTTCGCTCCGCCCAGCCTCGCCCCGTTAGAAGGCGGGCCGGCTTATGAGATGTACGGGGTCGGGCCGAGCGTCGGCGCAGGAGGCGCCACCGGGACCCCAGAAACTGGACTTGGGAAATACGGCAGTTCCACACGGTTCTCCTACACCTCCCAGCATTCCGATTATTCCCACCGACACACACAGAGGATGCAGACACATGTGTAAGAGAGAAGCATCACGTGCACGTAACACAAGTTACGCTGATGTATAAGTACACACACTTACACAGATACACAGGACGGAGATAATGAATGAACCACAGATAAACACAGGAGGGTGAACGAGCGAAGTAAACACAGGCCGAGAAAAGAGAACGGGATGCGGGGCAGGAGAGTCTTAGCGTTTATTTCTCAGCTGCAGGAGCTGAAAGCGAAAGTCACAATCAAGAAAGACTGATGTTTCGAAAACATCTGATAAAAGATCGATAAATTCAGAGTGCTTTTATTAAGCATGATTGCTGAGAAATGAAGGGTGCCTCTTATAGGCTTCTAGTCTGTTTAACAGTGGTCACAGAGATGGTCATATGAGATACATGTATGAATTCTCTTCAATGGCTTCTTCAACTTCTCCCCTTAAGCTTAGTATAGTTTAAAATGGCGTTTAATGGCAAACTGCACAATGTACAGTAAGGTCTAAAAGTCTGAGACATAAACTGAAAGTTTCAGGATTTAAATGACACACAATACATCAAAAAACAGGGAAAGCTAAATGAAGCGTAAATATTTAAGGTTCTACACTATTTCTAGGTCACTAGTCAAATGTAAGTCAGTTTTGATCATGTGTTTTTCTTTCTTCCATTAAAGGCCAAGATGCTCTTGGATAATTGATTTAAATACCATATTTAAAGCCATTAAAGCATGAGGCCTCAAGATGAAACTGAAATTCAAGCATTAAAATAAGATATTTCTCATTTTAAGGAAGTCTTTTTTTCTTTTCTTTTAAGATCCTACAAACGAAAGATCATAGGGCCTTCGAATATTGTTGTGGATAATAAGGGCAGGGGATTGTCAGAGTCAAAAAAGTTACCACCTTTTTGTAGGAGTTTCCCTTTCAGATGCAAAATTTATGGTAGGAGAGTATTTAAATGAACCATGCAAGGTGTTTCACTAAGATTTGCGCTAGTATTTGCACCATTATTTACCGCCCAAAAAAGCATGTCTTAATTCCATATGCTAATTTGCGCTGCTCTTGATGTATTGTGTTGGTCATTATGGAAATGATCCGGCTTTCCACTCCCATCGGTGCATTTTTGGGATTGCGCTCTCACGCTAAGTTGCCCTGTTTAATAAATATGACCCATAATGGGTGAGAGATGTGTAGAACCTTTGACTCAAAATTATGAAAATGAAAAATTATACATTTTTAGGCCCGACTGTACACGAATACCAGTTACACAATACCCAATAATTTTTCCATTTATTCTTAAATGAAAGTCTACGTTTGACAAAAGAGATAAAGAGCACATGATACTCATACAATACTCTTGATCACCAAAGCAACATGTTTTTGTTTTTTTTTAGTCTAGAAGACTCTTTATTACTCTGTGTAAGTCAGCATCGACCTGGCTATCCAGCTTGCTGAGCTACCTCGATCAACAGGTTAGTAGCCTTCCAGTGCAGCGACCATTTAAAAAGCACTTTTGAGCATTTGCAATAAAACCCATCGCCCTTTCAATTTCAACATTATGACGGAGACCAGTCGAGGAAGCCATTTAACCGTTTTCAGACATGGCCATTTAGTTCACTATCGTACAAATAGTTCAGAACCATGGAATATATATAAATCTATATACATATTCATATACAGGAATGCCCCACTCTTTTCCATGGTGCTTTTGTTGTGGGGTCATTGTTTGCACTGCATTCCAGTATTCTAGCTTAGATTACCCTCATAATCGATATGTAATCTCTCATTTGCACACTAGGATAGAGCGTTTTCTCTCTATGTTTTGAATATTACCGAAAATCTTCTTTTTTACGTCATATTTCTGTAAGTGATTCTGGACCAAAGGTTCAACGTTAGAGTATCAGTCTTTATTTGGGTGATATTCACCTCAACGAACAAGAAAATATGCAGATTTGTTTGTTATCGTTGTTTGCGAATTTATTCGGTCGCTAGTGACCCAGAGCTTTTTTTTTTCTCTCTTTCTCTTTTTTGTTTTTGAGGGTTGGGAACAGCAGAGAAGGTCTTAAACTGATCCAGCCTTAGGTATCCAATCTCACCCTTACTGATCTGAGATCAGGCTGCTATCACATTCGTCTTAAAGATAACGAAGATCAAATTGGAACTAATTTAAGGTCAGAGGTCTGGAGTGGCATTTTAACGTCTCGCGCCCCAGACTTTGGTGTCGTGAAGTTTGAGATCGGAGAGTCTTTCACCCGCTTATTCACACAGACACACACCTGATATTTGTGCCAAACACAGACGACAAACTTGAAGTATTTTCCGCCAATTTCGAAAAACTACCTTTACAGGGACCAGATATGGTCTTTGGCTATGAACCGTCTTCAACGGGTTTTGAAGGATGCCGTCGTCAAAGCAATGACGGATGAGGATGAAGACAATCCCTCAGACACTAGTTTTCGTCTCCGTCCACGTTTCAAACGAGCCCTGTAAATACTTCCCATGTGTAATTCCGACTTCAAGTATTATTTGACATCAATCCAAATGTGATGCACTCTTTAAATGCAGTATTGTTATGTTTTTAATTGCGCGAAGAAGGTTGACAAACGCCATAGCGATGGTACTTTCGGACTCAGTGCGGTACAAAGCGGACGATTGGTTGGAGCCAGTACGATATCAAGAGTGTTCGGGAAGATCCGGAAACATCTTGAGCTGCCAAATCACTCATCCTTTATACTGATGGCCTGGGGAAACTCTTGTGGGACATCATGTGACCCGCTGGACAGTATTTGCATTCCCCGCCCCATCTAAGAACTTGAAGCTCCATGAAGACGAGAAAGAAGGAATATATGAAGGAGTGAATAAAAATAAAGAGTGGCCTTAGGAAAACATGACTTTTATATTCCCTCACTTTATAAACCGGCTTTAGGCCAGAGGAGTGTGTGCAAATGAAGGTATGCGTGTTTTTGTGCGAGTGCGATTGAGAATATGAAAATCTTTATGTAGTCCATTCATTTACTTCTTTCACGTTCCTGCTCCAATACTTTTCTTCTGCTGGTAGGAGTGTATCCTGTATAATTGTGTCTTAGAAAATAAACGTTGACCTTACTGTACTGTTCTTGGTAGCTGAAAAATGTTTGACAGATGTACAACAAAAGTTATTGATTTTTTTTATTTCCCTTTGATTTTTTCCAATATTTTTTAAAAATGTTACGTAATTATTTTTTCACAGTATATCAGAAAATAAAAGCACTGTTTTTCTAAGAATCAATGAAGCATTGAATGTGTGGTTTATATGTAAATTTACTGTTCATTCTTGTGTTTGGGAATGTGATTTCTAGCATTAGTTTAATTACAAACCGGTGTCAGCTTTAAGATATAAAAAATATGAGAACATTATTGTTTATAGGACCACATACATTTTTCATGAATACAGTAATATAGGCCAAGTTTTAATACTGTTTTTAAAGAATATTCCTTAAGGACCACCACACATTATATTATATATGTATACACACACAAAAAAGTTAGCATATATAGAAAAAAATTCTTATAGTCTCTTAAACTACAATAATATTGTGACATTCAATTTAAAATATCTGATTTCTATTTAAATATATCTTAAAATGTCATTTATTCCTGTGATCAAAGCTGAATTTTAAGCATAATTACTCCAGTCTTCAGTGTCACATGATCCTTCAGAAATCATTCTGATATGCTGATTTGTTGCTCAAAAAACATTTCTCATTATTATCAATGTTGAAAACAGTTGTGCTGCTGCTTAATATTTTTGTGGAAACTACCGTGTGTGTTTTTTCCAGGATTCTTTGTTGAACAAAAAGTTCGAACAAACAGCATTTTGAAATAGAAATCTTTTGTAACGTTATAAATGTCTTTACTGCCATTTTTTTTAAATATCTTACTAAAACCAAACTTTTGAAAGCTGGTGTATAGGCTACAAATGTCTGCTATAAATATTATATCAACAATTACATCATATCTGGAAAAATAACTACAAATATCACTAACATAAATTATTAAAATGTACCATATCATGATAATACTATGTATACCACACAGACAGTAGCTGTAGGCCTACTGTAACTGTACAGTGATTGGATCTTTTAGTTCGTGAATTGAGCGCAAGAGTCGATTCGTTAACGAATCAGTCAGTTCGATTTGCCTATTTCAGGGGGTGGACTGGCCTCAGTGTCCAGAGTTTAGCTCCAATTTGCCTCAACACACCTGCCTTGAAGTCTCTAGTATGCCTAGTAAGCTAGTTGAACTGCAGGACAACAGTGACCCTCTCTGGAGCAGGATTGGACAGCACACCCCTGGTCAAATTCATTGAAAGCAACCGACTCAAAAGAACGATTCGCTTAAGAATCGAATTGGTTCGGTTCTCGTGTCTGACTCCGACAATGCGGTTTCAACGATTCTTCAGAAAGAGGATGGCAAACAATTCACAACAAATACTTTTAAATTCCACATCTGCATTTCCATGTATCCATACAACTATAACTACAGAGTCGACGGACACCTAGTGGCATTTGTGCGTAGTTATAATAATGCGCACTGAACCTACAGCTTTAACCCTCCCGCCGGCAGATGGCGACAGAGCCGCAGTAAAACTATCCTCCGTTACGAGATCAGCGCAGAAACAGCCGGTTGCTGACTTGCTGACAGCAGGGAAGATGGCGGCGACAATGCTGAGGTCGCTCTCCAGACTCGGACGTCCTTCAGTCATTTTAAACAGTAACCTCAGCACTCCAGCCTGTGCTCTGCTTCAGAAGAGGTATTCACATTATTGTTACCAGTACCGTGAAATTTAAGCAGTGGTTTCGTTAGATAGCGGCTTGCTTCTGCCAATGTTATCAGGATTAGATAACCAGTGTTTCTGCGACTTCGAGTTTCTGTCAAGCATGGAAATGTACAATGTTACTAAACTGTACCTGTTAATTCTTATTATTGCATGACACCGTTTGATTGTCATTTCCCCCCTCCGCCAAAGTTTTGATTAATTGCTGAAAATGAGCATGTAACGTTAGCCGGTGGAGATGAAACATGAGCAGTAAACAAACAACTCGTAGTTTAAAACATGGATTTAAGATTGCGTCGTCTTTTTTCCCCAATTACTTGTACATCTGCTTTGCTTTATGTTTTGAAATGTCCGACAACGCAAACATCTTAATATCTGTAGAAAAGGTGGCCTACAAAAAGTACTGAAGCCACACATCACACTGT